CCAGAGAGCACTGAACCCACCCAAACTTGGCGCAAAGACCTAACATGGGCATCTGTGCATAGAGGTCTGGTTTGGGGGTGATTGTCCTTGGCTCTGGGAGTTGTAGTTCACCTTTATCCAGAGAACACTGAACCCAGCTGACGTTGCATCTCCACCAAACTTGACACACAGACCCAGCATGCCCAACTGTGCATACAGGCAGGGTTTGGGTTTGAATGGCCTTGGATCTGGGAGTTGTAGTTCACCCTTATGAGGAAAAATGAGCAAAGGACTGCACCTCTTCTTCAGCACAGACCAATTCAGGCTACAAACCCCATCGACTTCGAGTGAAGGTGCTTTCCTTATAAAGCATGTACACATCCTGTGCATGTGCAGAGTGCAATCTGCCCCAATCCAAGCCATTGCGTTGCCTTCTGAATGGCTTAAAATACCGGGGAGTCCTCTGCTTTTTTGGGGTTTTTTTTTTTTTGCCAACACAAGGAGATATTTCCGATTGGGAAACTGCGAAGGATGAGTCCGGATTTATGGCTTCTCTGCGCCAAAGAAGGAGGAGGAAAGAGGGCAGACGCCCTTGGCTCCGTTCCCCTTCGGTTCTGCTTCACATTGGAAAAGGAAATGAATCCTTGTTATGGCAAGGCCAGCAAACCCATAAGCCCAGAATAAAAATACTAATACTAATAATAGGAATAATAATAACAACAACAACACAGGAAGAATAATCACCAAAGGTCTCCTGGAGATCATCTAGTCCAACCCCTTCCCCCAGATTTCTGCTTTCTTAAAGGTATTATGTGGATCCTCAAATAATAATAATACTAATAATAATAAATAACTATTATTATTATTTCTACAGGAAAAAAGAGGATAATTATCAAGGTGACTCCCTGAGATCATCTAGTCCAACCCTTTCCCCCCAAACTCCTCCTTTCTTAAAGGTATGATGTGGATCCTCAAATAATAAATTATTATTATCATTATTATCATTATTATTATTATTTCTACAGGAAGAAAGAGGATAATTACCAAAGGGGCACCTGGAGATCATCTAGTCCAACCCCTTCCACCCCAAACTTCTCCTTTTTAAAGGTATGATGTGGATCCTCAAATAATAATAATAATAATAATAATAATAATAATAATAATAATAATATCCTATTATTATTATTATCATCATTATTTCTACAGGAAAAAAGAGGATAATCACCAAAGGGGCTCCTGGAGATCATCTAGTCCAACCTTTTTCCCCAAACTTCTCCTTTCTTAAAGGTATGATGTAGATCCTCAAATAATAAAAAAATATTAAATTATTATTATTATTATTATTATTATTATTTGTATAGGACGAAACAGGATAATCACCAAAGGGACTCCTTGAGATCATCTAGTCCAACCCTTTCCCCTAAAATTTCTCCCTTTTGTGAGCCTTGGCTTTTTCTTCCTTAATGGCAGACTCTAACAACAACAACAACAACAACACAGGAAGGTAGAGCATAATTGCCAAAGGGACACTTCAACAGCCAGCAGAGTGATCTTGTCTGCTGTGGACTCATCTTGTTGTGTTTCAAATAATAATAATAACAACAACAACAATAATAATGTTGTTGTTATTGTTGTTATTTTACAGACACAAAACACAGTATGACACAGCAAACGAGATATATATGCTGGATTTCGTATCACAAAATCACAATTGTTGTTGTTGTTACGTGCAGCTCCATTGTGGGCTGGCTTCAGAATGCTCTTTGACTGGAGGTGAACTATAAATCCCAGCAAATACAACTCCCAAATGTCGAGGTCTATTTTCCCCAGACTCCGCCAGTGTTCACACTTGGGCATATCGCGTATTCATGCCAAGTTTGGTCCAGATCCATCATTGTTTGAGTCCACAGTGCTCTCTGGATGTAGGTGAACTACAACTCCCAAACTCAAGGTCCTGCCCATCAAACCCTTCCAGTATTTTCTGTTGGTCATGGGAGTTCTGTGTGCCAAGTTTGGTTCAATTCCATTGTTGGTGGAGTTCAGAATGCTCTTTGATTGCAGGTGAACTATAAATCCTAGCAACTACAACTCCCAAATGTCATGTTTGAGGGTCACCACAACATGAGAAACTGGGTTAAGGGGTTGCAGCACTTGGAAGGTTGAGAAACAATGGTCTAGTCTAGTCCAACCCAGTTTACTCTGAAGGCAAATCCCAACCTGGGACTAATCCAATCCTCAGTGATGTGGGTGCCAATCTTCCATGGCACTCTGCACATGCTCAAGTGACCTGTGGCTCCAAAACTCTGAAAACCAACATCAATCTTAACCCTATTCTCCCCTACTTTAGTTTTGAATAAGTCAACCTAGCGCTGACTTAGATTATTATGGCTGTTGCCGTTTGCTATTGCACTCTGCACATGCTCAAAGAGCCCTCTCAAACAATGCAATGCAATACTCAATTCTCCATTACCGAGAACCACTTTCCTGTTGCACTCTGCCCATGCTCAGAAATCCCTCTCCAACAATAAACACAGTGGAAACAATACCGCATCCTCCATTACCTGGGGACCAGTTTCCCCAACAATCAATGCAACATAAATAAGTCACAATCTTGCATTACTTGGGGACTGGTTTCCCATTGTACTCTGCACATGCTCAGAGAGCCCTCTCCAAAAATAAAGGCAATGTAAACAAGAACCCGTATTCCATTGCCTGGGGGAACCATTTTCCCACTGCACTCTGCACATGCTCAGAGAACCCTCACTATAAGAAATGAGTGCAATGGGAACAGCAGCATCCAATTATTTGTGTACCGGTTTCCTGCTGAACACTGCACATGCTCAGAGAGCCTTCTCCAACAATGAAGGCACTAGAAACAACACCCAATCTTACGTTATTTGGAGACCAGTTTCCCATTGCACTCTGCACAAGCTCAGGGGAAACAGAGTGCAATGGAAATAGCAACACTCAATTATATGGGGACCAATTTCCCTTTGCACTCTGCACATGCTCAGAGAACTCTCTCCAAAACACACAGAGTGCAATGGAAACAGTAACACCCAATAACGTGGGGATCAATTTCCCATTATACTCTGCACATGCTCAGAGGGCCCTCTCCAACAATCAATGCACTAGAAACAACACCCAATCGTATGTTACTTGAGGACCAGTTTCCCATTGCACTCTGCACAAGCTCAGGGGAAACAGAGTGCAATGGAAACAGCAACACCCAATTATATGGGGACCATTTTTTGCACTCTGCACATGCTCAGAGAACCCTCATCAAAAGCAATGAGTGCAATGGGAACAGCAGCACCCAATTATCTGTGTACCAGTTTCCCACTGCACTCTGCACATAGTCAGAGAGCTCTCTCCAACAATCAATGCACTAGAAACAACACCCAACCTTACGTTACTTGGAGATCGGTTTCCCATTGCACTCTGCACAAGCTCAGGGGAAACAGTGTGCAATGGAAATAGCAGCACCCAATTATATGGGGACCAGTTTCCCTTTGCACTCTGCACATGCTCAGAGAGCCCTCTCCAACAATTAGAAAAGTGGAAACACCCCATCTTCCCATTACTGGGGGAGGGCATTTTCCGATTGCACTCTGCACATGCTCAGAGAATCCCCTCCAAAGGAAACAGAGTGCAATGGGAACAGCAACACCCAGTTTCCCACTGCACTCTGGATATGCTCAGAGAACCGCCTCCAACAACAATGCAGTGGAAACAAGACCCAATCTTACATTACTTGGGGACTGGTTTCCCTTTGCACTCTGCACATGCTCAGAGAGCCTGGTTTCCCTTTGCACTCTGCACATGCTCAGAGAGCCCCCTCCAAAGGAAACAGGATGCACTGGAAACAGCATCACCCAATTACATGGGAACCAGTTTCCCATTGCACTCTGCACATGGTCAGAGAACCCTCTTCAACAATCAATGCACTGGAAACAAAACCGAATCCTGGTTTACCAGTTTCCCACTGCACTCTGCACATGCTCAAAGGAAACAGAGTGCAATGGAAACAGCAATACCCAAGTATATGGTGACCAATTCCCCTCTGCACTCTGCACATGCTCAGAGAACCCTCTCCAAGAAACAGAGTGCAATGGAAACAGCAATACCCAAGTATATGGGGTCCAATTTCCCTTTGCACTCTGCACATGCTCAGAAAGCCCTCTCCAAGAAACAGAGTGCAATGGAAACAGGAATACCCAAGTATAGGGGGACCAAGTTCCCTTTGCATTCTGCACATGCTCAGAGAACCCTCTCCAACAATTAATGCACTGAAAACAACACCCAATCTTACATTACTTGGGGACTGGTTTCCTATTGCACTCTGCACATGCTCAGAGAGCCCTCTCCAAGAAACAGAGTGCAATTGAAACAGCAACACCCAATTACATGGGAACCAATTTCCCATTGCACATGCTCAGAGAACCTTCTCCAACAATCAACGCACTGGAAACAACACCCAATCTTGGTTTACCAGTTTCCTACTGCACTCTGCACATGCTCAAAGGAAACAGAGTCCAATGGAAACAAGTATAGGGGGACCAATTCTCCTCTGCACTCTGCACATGCTCAGAGAGCCCTCTCCAAGAAACAGGATGCAATGGAAACAGCAACACCCAATTACATGGGGACCAATTTCCTATTGCACTCCGCACATGCTCAGAGAACCCTCTCCAACAATCAACGCACTGGAAACAACACCCAGTCTTGGTTTACCAGTTTCCCACTGCACTCTGCACATGCTCAAAGGAAACAGAGTGCAATGGAAACAAGTATATGGGGACCAATTCCCCTCTGCACTCTGCCCATGCTCAGGGAGCCCTCTCCAACAACAGAAACAACACCCAACCTTGCATTTACCTGGGAGCCAATTTCCCACTGCACTCTGCCCATGCGCAGGCGACCTGTGGCTCCAACACTTCCAAACCCACAATAAGAGGGGCGAAGGGGGAAGGCTGAGGCGCTTTCTGCACATGCTCAGAGGCCCCTGAGCCCGAACTCACCGTGGCTGGTGGAGGCCCCGAGGCAGCAGCAAAGGAAGGCGATGGAGATGGCTCTGGAGAGGAGAAGGCGCTGCTGCAAAGCCATGGCGAAAATGTGGGGAGGGGGCCTAAATGGGGGGCCACTTCCGGTGGGGGCTTTGGACCCCTAAAAGAGGGGAGGTGGACCGGAAATGCCCCAGATTTCCGCCCTCTTTTTCCTCCCCATTGACAAAAAACAACCCAGCAGAGAAAGAGAGAAGCTGGTGCTTTTCTTTTTGGCGAGGATGCGCTCCGCATCCAGGGCGCAAATCCCGAATCCACTCTTCTTTCTCCTCCTCGTAGGAAAGCGGCGCAAGTCCGGATCCGGACTTAATTGGTCTCGTTCGAAAGAGCAAACGATGCTGAACAAAACGGTGTAACTCTCGAAAATGTGGCCCAATCCGTTTTGGAGCAGCGGAGGGGCAAAGGAGGTACCCCCAGAGACCTCTCCAAAAAAAAAAAATCGCACACACTCAATCCCCGAACCGACTCCTCTTCTTTCTCCTCCTGGTAGGAAAGCGACGCTAATCCGGATCCGGGCGAAATTGGTCTCGTTGCAAAGAGCAAGCGATGCTGAACAAAACGGTCCCAGTCTCGAAGATGTGGACTAATCTGTTTTGGAGGGGCGAAGGGAGAAAGGAGGTACCCCCAGAGACCTCTCCAAAAAAGAGAAGCACAGCAACACACACACAAAGCCTCGCCTTTTACGCGCAGGGAAAGCAAGCAAAGAGGCTTCTTTTACGCACGGGGAAAAGCGGGGGGAACCCGCATCTCTTTGGCTTGGGTCTCCCCAAGAGGAAGAGACCCTTCCTCTTTCCTTCCTCCTTCCCTTTTCCTTCCTTTCTTTCCTCCCCAGGCGAGGAGAGCAAGCGCCGGCCGGGCAGCTTTCCTCTCTTCCCTTCTTCCTGCCTCGCCTCTCTCTCTCTTTTTTTTCCCCCTCCCTCCCTCCTTCGCGTCACGTGTCTTCCCCGGCGCTCCGGCCCCTCCTGGACACCGACACGACACGCAAGTCGCCCCTTCCCACGTGCAAAGGCCCTGCCTGTTTCCCTGCACATCCTTCGCCTTTGGGCGGCACCCCAAAGGCCATCCAGCCCAACCCCATGTGTTTGTCTCTCTCTCTGTGTGTCTATGTGTCTATCTATCCAGCCATCTCTATGTATATACCTAATATCTATCTGTCTATCATAGAATCCCAGAGTGAGAAGAGACCCCCAAAGGCCATCCAGCCCAACCCCATTTGTCTGTTTGCCTGTCTATCTATTTATCTGTCTATTCAGCCATCTATATGTATATAATATCTATCTATCTAACATAGAATCCCAGAGTGAGAAGGGACCCCCAAAGGTCATCCAGCCGATCCCCATTTGTTTGTCTGTCTATCTATCCAGCCATCTATATGTATATAATATCTATCTATCCAGCTGTCTATAATATATCTGATATCTATCTATCTGTCTATTTAATCTATCTATCATAGAATACCAGAGAAGAGACCCCCAAAGGCCACCCAGCCCAACCCCATTGTTTGTCTGTCTCTCTATCCAGCTCTCTCTCTCTCTATATATATATATATATAGCTATCGATATAGCTTATATGTATATCTCTTTATTTATCTATCCATATAGGCCATCTATACAACACACACACACACCTACATACATTTCTATCATAGAAGAGACCCCCAAAGGCCATCCAGCCCAACCCCCTTTGTTTGTCTATCTCTCTATCCATTTCTCTCTCTCTCTCTATATATATATATATATCTCCAGCTATCGATATAGCTTATATGTATATATCTCTCTTTATTTATTTATCTATCCATCTAGGCCATCTATACCACACATACCTATCCAGATATGTATGTGTGTGTATCTCGATTTATCAATCAACATAGGCTATCTATACAACACACACACACACCTACATACATTTCTATCATAGAAGAGACCCCCAAAGGCCATCCAGCCCAACCCCATTTGTTTGTTTGTCTGTCTATCTATCTATCTATCTATCTATCTATCTATCTATCTATCTATCTATCTATCTATCTATCTATCTATCTATCCAGTCATCTATATGCATCTAATGTCTATCTATCTATCTATCTATCTATCTATCTATCTATCTATCTATCCAGCCATCCAGCTATCTATCTATCTATCTATCCAGGTGGAAGGCGGTCCCGGTCGGGGTTGGCTTGACGCGCCTTCCTCTGGCACGTTTCTCTCTTTCACCCTCCATTTGTGCCTCTTCAAATTCTGCAGCGCTGCTGGTCACAGCTGACCTCCAGCTGGAGCGCTCAAGGGCCAGGGCTTCCCAGTTCTCAGTGTCTATGCCAGAGTTTTTAAGGTTGGCTTTGAGCCCATCTTTAAATCTCTTTTCCTGTCCACCAACATTCCGTTTTCTGTTCTTAAGTTCAGAGTAGAGCAACTGCTTTGGGAGACGGTGGTCAGGCATCCGGACAACGTGGCCGGTCCAGCGGAGTTGATGGTGGAGGACCATCGCTTCAATGCTGGTGGTCTTTGCTTCTTCCAGCACACTGACATTTATCCGCTTGTCTTCCCAAGAGATTTGGATTTTCCGGAGGCAGTGCTGATGGAATCATTCCAGGAGTTGCATGTGACGTCTGTAGAAGGTCCACGTTTCGCAGGCATAGAGCAGGGTTGGGAGGACAATAGCTTTATAAGCAAGCACCTTGATATCCCTACGGATGTCCCGGTCCTCAAACACTCTCTGCTTCATTCGTGAAAATGCTGCACTCGCAGAGCTCAGGCGGTGTTGTATTTGGTGTCGATGTTGACTTATATAGCATACATGTATATATCTCTATTTATCAATCTAGGCCATTTATACAACCCATACACATGCATAGCTATCATAGAAAAGACCCCCAAAGGCCATCCAGCCCAACTCAATTTGTTTGTTTGTCTCTCTATTTATCTAGCCATCTATATAGCCTATATGTCTGTCTGTCTGTCTAGCTAGCTAGCCAGCCAGCCAGCCAGCCAGCCAGCTATCTATATAGCATATATATCTGTCTGCCTGTCTGTCTATCTAGCCATCTATATAGCCTATGTGTATTTCTATCTATCTATCTATCTATCTATCTATCTACCTACCTACTTACCTATCTGTCCGTCCATCCATCCATCCATCTATCCAGCCATCTATATAGAATATATGTCTGTCTATCTATCATAGAAGGGACCCTAAAGGTCATCCAACCCAACCCCATATTTCTGTCTCTCTGTCTGGTTATCTATCCAGCCATCTATATGTATCTATTATAGAAGAGAACCCAAAGGCCATCCAGTCTAACCCCTTAACTGGATGGCCTTTGTTTGAAGAATAGATAGTGAGGATGAATAGATACACAGACAGATACACACATACACATGCTATTCTGTAGCTTGCCTCGAGCCACAAGGATATTATTATTATTATTATTATTATTATTATTATTATATTTATTATTATTATTATTAAAATAATAATAATTCCTCCCAGGAAGAATATTAGGAATGGAACAGTGCCCTCTGGGGGCCATTGGAAGCATTGCAGTGAGAAAAGGAATGGGGTGACATTTGGATCCCAAAGGCCAGCTACATTATCATTATTATTATTATTATTGGCCCTTATCAATGTCCACTTCCCAAGCCTTTAGTGGCGATCAATTCCCGGAGAAAGGATCTTGTTCAAGGTCTGGAGGGAAAACCAGGCTCAAAAGCAGCCTTTGCTTCTTTTCTTCTGTTTGTTCAAGTCTTCAGACAAATTTCTCCCCGCTGAGTCTTTAATGGGGATTTATCGCCGGCTGTTATTGGATGTTAAATAAATTCCGGGTGATTATTAAACACAGAATTAATCGGTTTTTTTATCACCGCCGATGGGGAAAAAAGCAAGCAAAAGAGAGATTGCTGCATATATATCTCATTCTGGGATGCCGCCGACTCTTTCCGCTCATTGTTTTGTCATGGAAATGCCCTAAATAATAATAATAACAACAACAATATGAAGAAGAAGCCCACCATGTGATGCTGTAGCCAATGTGGCTGCTAATAATAATAATAATAATAATAATAATAATAATAATAAATTATTATTATTGTTTGCTTGGGGACTCAGTGATGCCCGAGTTATTAGATGAAGACATTGTTTGTTTTGGGATGTTAGGTAATATCACTTAAGTTGGGTCCAGATCCATCGTTGTCTGGGTTCAGTGCTCACTGGATAAGGGTGAACTACGACTCCCAGATTCCCAGGGCAATCACTCTCAAACCCTGCCAGTATTCCCAATTGGCCATGTTGGGCCTGTGTGCCAAGTTTGGTCCAGATCCGATGTCAGCTGGGTTCAGTGCTCTCTAGATGCAGGCGAACTGCAACTCCCAAAATCAAGATCAATTTCCACAAACCCCTGCAATATGTTCGGTTGGTTAAGTGTGATCCATTGTCGGTGGGGGTCACTGTCTCTCTGGATGCAGGTGAATGATAACTCCCAAAATCAAGGTCCATTCCCACAAACCTCTGTGGTATGTTCAGTTGGTCATGGGGAGTCTATGTGCCAAGTTTGGTCCAGGTCCATCATTCGTGGGGGTCGCAGTGGTCTGTTGAAGTTGATGCTGAATCGGGTGAAGGTACTGCAAATCCCATCGTCCATGGTCCATCCTTCCCCAAGCTGCAACAGGACATAAATTGAGTCAAGGAGGGATCTGTGTGCCAAGTTTGGTCCAGGTCCGTCATTCGTGGAGGTCACAGTGGTCTGTTGAAGTTGATGCTGAATCGGGTGAAGGTACTGCAAATCCCATCACCCATGGTCCATCCTCCCCCAAACTGCAATAGAACAATAGAAGTGAGTCATGGAGGGGTCTGTGTACCAAGTGTGGTCCAGGTCCGTCATTCATGGGGGTCGCAGTGATCTGTTGAAGTTGGTGCTGTTCTGCAAATCCCATCGTCCATGGTCCATCCTTCCCCAAGCTGCAACAGGACATTAAGTGAGTCACGGAGGGGTCTGTGTACGAAGTTTGGTCCAGATCCGTCATTCATGGAGGTTGCAGTGGTCTGTTGAAGTTGGTGCTGAATCGGGTGAAGGTACTCCAAATCCCATCGTCCATGGTCCATCCTTCCCCAAGCTGCAACAGGACATAAAGTGAGTCATGGAGGGATCTGTGTACCAAGTTTGGCCCAAGTCCATCATTCATGGAGGTCGCAGTGGTCTGTTGAAGTTGAGGCTGGATCGAGTGAAGGTTCTGTAAATCCCATCATTCATGGTCCATCCTTCCCCAAGCTGCAACAGGACATAAATTGAGTCAAGGAGGGATCTGTGTGCCAAGTTTGGTCCAGATCCGTCATTCGTGGGGGTCGCAGTGGTCTGTTGAAGTTGGTCCTGAATCGGGTGAAGGTACTGCAAATCCCATTGTCCGGGGTCCATCATTCCCCAAGCTGCAACAGGACATAAAGTGAGTCATGGAGAGGTCTGTGTACCAAGTTTGGTCCAGGTCTGTCATTTGTGGAGGTCACAGTGGTGTGTTGAAGTTGGTGCTGAATCGGGTGAAGGAACCCCCTTTACTTCTTCGTTTTACTTCTTTCCTTCCTTTTTGGACATGGAAAGCCATTGGAAGGCCTTGGGCGAGTCGCACTCTCTCGGCCTCAGATAAAAGTTTGCCGAATGTGAAAACGTTGCAAAGATATCCCATTAAATGGACATCAGCGGCACGAACTTCTTCTTTCTCCGGCCGCAGATGGGCAGAATGAATAATTCACCTCCTAATGGGCCCTGAAGTGCCTCTTAATGGGCTCCAATGGGGAAGGGGTGCGCCTCGAACCCAGTACTGCTCATCAATTATGCAAGGGCCCAAAAGGGAGGGACAGGAGGCCCAACCAAGTTACAAATATGGCAGGCAGACCGTGTTTCATCACATTCGTCATTC